TAGAAAGGAGGCGAATCCACGGGTTTGCCAGCGAAGTTTTCGTAGGGGAGAGTTTGCCCTATCCATCTAGGGTTAGGGAAGAAAACTTGCGGAAACACACAAAAGGAGAGTCTTAACAGTTTATTTCTGTCTTAGCACTATGTGCGTATGTTTATCAAAAAAAAAATGTTTCTACTATATGCATAGCACGTGCTATCTAGATCATAATCAGCATGTCATTAGTTCTGTCAAAATCATGTTCATGACTATTTATGGATTAAATTAATCAAAAGTTGCTAATATACTCGACACTTTTCCTTTTTCCTTTTTTCCTTCTTTTCTCTCTCTACAATGGCAATGGCATGCATAAATATTTTGACATTGCTCGGTACGAGTTCACGTCAAACATCGGGCATCCTAGATTCCTGCATCCGCCCATTCACACTATGCTCGCGCTGACAAGTTGACGCGCGTGATCGCGAAAACATGTCACTGGCGGCATTGTACATGGGGTCGTGCGTGTGCGGTATGCGATGTGAGCTTGTGGCATACTCCAAGGTGCGGAGCATGATCTACCAAACGGCACTCCTTGACGTGCGACCCCGTCGTGCCTGTACGTCAGCCGTCACAACCAATGTACTGTAATCACCATTGGAAAATATGCATGGCAATGCCAGGCTGCTTAGTGCTTACGACGTCGACTTCATCTCCGCGGCCAAGTAAAAAAGTTTTTTTTTCTTTCATTCGCAAAAAAAAAAAACTTTTTTCTTACCGTTCTTGTTTGCCACGCCTATGACCCCGTCCACGCTTGAAGGCCTGAACTCGAACCGGTCATTTTTGTCATCCGTCACCGATTTCATAAACTGATTTTGTACGTCCCAATCCTGTAGAGTCCAGGTGTATGCTAAACATGAAATATAAGAACCACTGGCCAAAGTTAAATTGACATCACAATCATCACTGCCGTACCGCCATAAACACGCCGAAGCTGCGTAAGCTCGTATTCTAATTTATCAGCGATGGCGACCGGCTAAAAATAAGCTTTCCCGGTGTGTGTGTGGCTGTAAAGCATCAGTAATTATTTTTTGTCCTCCTTTCCTCCATTTTGATTTTTGAGATCCCGAATATGCGAAAATTGGGTAGTACTTTCATTTTGCCCTGCCGAATCAAAGTCTGCGCGAGAGTAGCGTAGACTAGGAGTGGAGAGATGCAACTTTTCCAAGCACATTTCGTCAAAGTACGCTGCGTGGGTACATGGAAGTTTTAGACACGGCGATAAGAAAAAGCTACTAACATACACGACGCAACGATCCAGGTGAGGTGAGGTACAGCTCCCGCGACGCCCCATCATTTTTGTTGGCGAAGCGCGTCCCATCCTCGGATCGTGGCCGCGGCGTTCAATTTCGACGCGCGCTTCCCTCTTTAAAGCCCCTTGCCGGCGCCTCGCCGCGCAGTGTGTTGTGTCCTCCCCAAGTGCGCGCGTTCGCTCGATCCATGGCCATGGAGGACGACGAGAACGCGACCCAGAAGAGCCGCTTCTTCCGCGACGCGCGCGTGGAGGCCATGCAGCGGCGCGTGGACGAGGTGCACGCGGAGGCCGAGGACCCCTGCACCATCTTCCGCCTCCCCGCGGCCGTGCGCGAGCGCCACCCCGACCTGTACGAGCCCAAGGTCGTGTCCGTGGGGCCCTACTACCACGGCCGCGCCGGGCTCGCCGCCGCGCAGCAGCACAAGTGGCGCCTCCTGCGCGACTTCCTGTCGCGGGCAAACGGGAAGGGGCTGGGCGCCTACTTGCGCTGCGCGAGCGCGCTCGAGGCCGACGCGCGGCGGTGCTACGCGGAGGGGTTCGACGCCGTGGGAGCCGACGACTTCGCGGAGATGCTGGTGCTCGACGGCTGCTTCCTGCTCGAGTTCTTCCTGCGGAAGGGCGAGGGCCAGCTCGCCGCGCCCGGGGGCGCCAAGTGGGCGTGGCAGCACATGTACCACGACGTCCTCCTGCTCGAGAACCAGATCCCCTTCTTCGTCGTCGAGAAGCTGCACGCCATCGCCTTCCCCGGCGAGGACGGCAGGCCCGACAGCGAGGGGCTCCTCGACATCTTCTGCAAGGCCCTGGCCGGCGACCTGCCGTCGAGCCGCGCCATCCGGCCGCGGAGCGGCAAGACGATACACCACCTCCTGCACCTGCACTACGAGTGCAACGTCCGCAGCGCGTCCGCGGACGCCAGCGACGCCAAGGGGCGCAGCAACGGCAAGGCCGACGCCAACGGCGCCTCGTCGCTGGCCGTGTGGAAGCAGTCGCCGGTCCCGTCCCCGCGCTCCAGCGACGGCGCCGTGATGGGCCGGCTGACGTCGATGGTCCCGCAGGCGGCCAAGATGGAGGAGGCCGGCGTGACGTTCAAGAGGAAGGCGACCCCGCGCGACATGTTCGACGTGAGCTTCCGGTACGGCGTGCTGCACATGCCGGCGTTCGTGGTGGACGAGGCCGCCAAGGTGCTGCTGGCCAACCTGGTGGCGTTCGAGCAGGGCGGCGGCCGCGCCGCCAGGCAGCTGGACGGGGGCAACCTGGTGACGGGGTTCGTGGCGCTGGTGGGGTCCCTGGTGAACACGACGAGGGACGTGGAGGTGCTCCGGCGGTGTGGCGTCATGCACTGCATGCTCACCCACGACGAGGCCGTCAGGTACTTCAGCCACGTGGTGCAATACACGACCATGGACTACGACCGCCACCTGCTCGCCTGCTTGTTCCGAGACATCCGAGAGCACTGCCAGTGGAGCCGATGACCGATCGTGCGCACGTAGCTGATTCTTTGCTCGACTATTATTAAGTCGATCTCCACCACTTTGTTTCTGCTCTACATGCCAATACGTTTCCTTTTTTCTGTTCTACTCTCTTTTTTTCCAATGGTTACTCTACTCTCTCTTGTCACAAAATATAAAGATGTACTCCCTCCATCGCAAGGTGTATTATTTTCGGCATAGTGATCAAGACACATAATTATGCATAATTTAGGATGAGCTAAATCATTGATTAGTGGCAAGTAAATCATTTAGTCTAGAAAATGAAAAGATACACGCAATCAGAAGAGAGACACTTTTTTTTCTTCTCTCCAAGAAAAGATATATGCAATCGTGAGAGAGATACTTTCCTATTTCTAGAGGGTTGAAAACAGAATTTAAAAAAAAATAGATAAAATGCACCTTACATTATAGAATTTTATAAAAAAAACAAATGCATCTTAGAAAGGAACGGAGAGAGTACTACACTATTGCGGTATGTTGCTTTGTTAAGATATGACCGGACAATTACTCCACTGGATGGGTGTGATTAATAAGCTCTTTTAGGACACTTCTAAATTGATCAATACAGGCCATTTATTTTTGTTAATCCAGTGACTAATATTAGGAGTATTAGGTAAGATGCTACTAAAGATTTTGTAGTGCTGAGAGTAACTCCTACGGATCCCGTATCCATAAAATAACTACCCTTTAGGAAAAGTTTGGGCAAAAAACGTCGCCAACAAATCCCGTAAACATGGAATAAATTTGCAGGATCTTGTAAACTTGACCTCAACTTTCCTTTGATACACGCGAAGTTTTGCTTCCCATAAACTTTTGGCAGCAAGGTAACCGCCTAAAACTTCACGCCGCGCCGCCGGTAAGCCGGTGCGCCATCGCGAAAGCCACCACGCCGCTGGAAAGCCGACGCGTAGATGTGCCCCACCAGCCTGCCGGAATGCCGTCATGCATGTCACTGACTAGTGGGCCCTAGACCATTATCTAGTTTTGTTTAATGAAAAATAAAATAAAAAGAGATTTAGGGGAAGTGTTTATGAGATCTGACAAAACTAGGTCTCAGAAAACTTCTCCTAGAATTTACAGACATCCTATAAAAGCACTTTTACATGAAGTTTTTTAGGGGAACTGTGTGAGTTGCTCTAATATAGACATTGCACTTCTTTAAATAAGAACACAACTTACATAATCGGGAAAAAAATCATCTTGCCCGCAGCCTTTAGATGAAGCATGAGACAACCCTCTGATCTCGCTACTGAGGTGTGCCAGCCTTTGTAAAAAAAGGCTCATGTTGCACTTGCTGCTTTGCAACATGAGCTCGATTGCGCTCCATGTTGGTTTTTGTCCGTTTTAGTGTTGATGCCTTTGCAACAACACTCATGTTATGTTCGGCACTTTACAACATGAGCCTTGGTGCGCTCCCTGCTAAACTATTTTTTTCTTCCTTCTTTTTTTTCTATTGAGGTGTGTCATCCTTTGCAACAACCAACAAGGCTCCTATGGCGCTTAGCATATTACAACGGGAGCCTTGTTGCGGCCAGAGGCCGTCCTATCAAACTCAAATCCGATGGCCACAGAGGCAATCGACGCAAACTCGAATCCGATGGCCACAGAGGCAATCGACGCAAACTCGAATCCGATGGCCACAGAGGCAATCGACGCAAACTCGAATCCGATGACCATAGAGGCAATTGACGCGCAAAGAGTTATCAGCCGGCTGAATCTAAGCCTTTTTTAAAGAGAGAAATTACATGGTCATTAAAGTAATACAAAAAGGAAGTTCTAACTATGCATATCAAGCTAATGATTTGTTAAATAAGGATGTAAATTTGTGTCCCTAGTGATTGTGTTCATGTTTCTGAGTAATCATTTTTTTTGAATTGTTTGGATTGCTTACCACATGTTTCATGTGGTTTTTCTGAGTAATCATTAATGCACTCTTTTACCCCACAAAAATGCTCTCTTTTCCTTGAAGAAAAGAAAGGTATTCCATTGACAGGTGGGCCAGTAGATCAGTGTCAACTCCCCAATAAGAAAAAACAACCAAAATATTCCACTCCAAGGTTCACTGTGATCTAAGATAGTTGTAGTCCACGGAACGAACTAAGAGCAACGCTAGCAGATAAACCACCATACGACCGTTTTGGAGCTAGCAAAACCGCCATCCAACGCTCCATCGCCATATTTATATATAGACTCTGCCCTTAAGCCATAATATATAGCGACCATGTGTTTGCAGCTTTGCGCACAACCTCCACAGCCTAAAAAAAAGGAGTATCCTCCAAAAACAAAGAGAATAGAGCATCCTCCAAAACAAAAACGCTTTGGAGGTTGCAGATGTAAGAACGTTGCTCTAAGCACAATAGGCGGGAAACTCTCTCCACCAAAAAAACAGAAAAACAAAGAGGGGGAGAGGGGGACTCAAATGGACATGAGTGAATGTCCAATGTTTTGATAAAAGAGAAGAGAAAGCGTTTACTCACACCATGAAAGGCGGTTGTGATATTGTCTTGTACAGTATCCCTATATATACTATGCGGTAGCAAGTTGCAAGAGGGGGGATGATCAAAATCGTTGCGCGCTGACGAGTGAGCTGATAATCGGATATTACCTCCGTAGCAAAAAGTAAAACGTTGTTGAATGCTAGTTTAGCCTACAAAAATGTATTCTATTTTGATACGGAGGTAGTACATGCCATGGAGATTCCTACGGCTCAGGTGCTGAAAAATAACAATCTCATGGACAAAATTGTGCTACAATCCGACATAGCCCCTAATATATATTTTTTTCTTTTCTTTTTGAAAACACAAGCCCTAACTAATAGTCTACCACACAACGTTAGTTCATGGCTTCATCCAGACGTCGTCCTTGACATACCCATCTTGTCATCATAGAGAAAATCCTTAACCGCCTTCATCCAGTGGTTGTACGAGTTATCGAACTGGTGAAGAGAAGAAAATAACCAATGAGTAGACAAGAAATCCAGCCAGAAGGATCCCTCCATAGACAAAAGCCTGGGATGACTGTTTCGGGTGACTATATTCAATGCTGCAGCACTTCATCTTGTCTCTCTCCGCAGAAAGAACACGTTCTACATACCTGCCCAACCAAAAAATTGTAAGAATGATTCCAAAGAAAGGGTAAATATGGAGCAAATAAATCACCAAAAAACGATTAAATGTTCTTTTCTATACAAGGTTTAACGGTACAAGGAGTAAAGGCAGAATAGCTAGTTGGGGACTGGCGACATGCAGATAAAGTTAACATACTGTTCTGTAAATATAGTGCTCTGAAGGATGTCGGAACTGTTTTGAGAAGCATCAACCAGACGGTGGTCATACAGCAATGAAGATAGATCCACAAGTTGTTCCTCAAGCCTCTGAAATGGTGCAAACAGAAAAGCAAATCAGGTCCAGGCAGAACTTCCACACTGAAGTAGACTGATGCAGTGTATGAAACATGTACTTACATCCAGGTACTCTTCTAAACGTTCAACAAGGCCATGGGGGAAAGGCTCCGGCATTGTGGTCACCTTCTTATAGAATTTCTCTACCCATAACTCAGTGCTAGACTTGTTTTTATTACCTTTGACAGGTTCTCCTAATGGCGTCTTAAGATGATCTGACGCAAATGATTGAACGGACTGCAACAAACATCAAACCACAGTTTTAGTTTGTCGTGCACGTCAAGAAAATAACCAAATGATGAGATGTTCAATTGAATGTCAAAGGACCTCTGATGTGTCCCTTATTTTGCGAAGAGCTGCATCAACCCGGGCATAGATTGTAGTTCTCTGCACATTAAAAAACAAAAATTGTCACAAATGAATATGACAACAGCTGACCGTAAAGTTGTACATGCCAGTTTAAATGGGTTGCAAAAGCCGGTAAGACGCATTTTACTATCAATAATTGCACTACCAATGCATTTTGATGTCTATGCTACGCATGTATGTTGACACAGGTCGAGAAACCCGTGTTTGAACCAGAATTTATATTGGTTAAAATGGAAACCTGGTGATGGTGATTACAGAATCGTGATAATGATTTACGCATATACCCAGCTTTTGTGGACATAAATGGCAACGGAACAGCAGAGAAAATAAATACCGAACCTAGCATGCTCCCAACACACGTGGAATAATTATCAGAAACTGGCCCATGGAGGGGAAGAAGCAATGGGTGTATAGCAGGCCTGAGCTCGAGGTTTCACAGTTTCTGTTCCAGTGCAATGTACAGACCATAGAAAGCATGAACAAGTATTCTGACAGAGCCTCACTATTACATATGAGCATTTATCTCCCTCCCCTGCTCCTCTCATTGTACATTATTTAAGGGAAATAAAAAAGGTATTGTTGGTTAACATTACCAGTGCAACGTCCTGAAGGATTTGACTGATCTGAGAGGAGTTTGAGAATGGTCCAAAAGGATGACATCCAGCAGACCATAGCCAGTTCACAATTGGTCTTTCATGAATACGCGATGCCCGTTCATACGGTCCACTCAGACCTCCAACTGCGGAAGCCAAACCAGCCAAGATGTGACGCTGTGCTAGAGATGGATACGCAAACTGCCTACTTGTTTCTGACACGTAGCTGCAACATAAGGGAGGCTTAAAATAGCAGCAACTTGAACTCATGCTGTGCAGGAATCAGTAGAACATTTTTTTCTTTACAGAAAAGTTTAACATACCTTAGAGGAATCATTTTATTGTTATGCTCCAATACAATGACAACATCTTTACTTGTCCAAACAAGGCTTTCCTCTTCCATCATAAGTTCAGCATCAAAATCAGCCAATGATAATACAAAGCTGTTGAGAAACAAATCAGCAAAAGTAGCAGTGCACCTTCTGCCTCAACAATGCATTCTTAGGACCTTAGTTCTTAAAATATCTTGTGAATAGTTCTACTTCTATGCACAAATTATACTTTACATTTGTTGAGTGCATAATTTGATAACTTCCAAATTTTACAATAAAACGGTAGGA